TGTGGTTATAATAAGCTACTGTGGTACAAATCCATAAGTGATAGTTCTGCATATTTTAAAGGGAGGATTTAGCAGTTTGGTGCCAAATAAGCTGAAATGTGATATATTTGACTCCAAAAAAAGAGATAACAAACAGGTTATACCTATTGCTATTTGCATACATGAATCGTAGCCTACAGGTTATGCAGTTATATCAATAGTTTAAAGGTTAGATTTGCACTTGACCCAGATATACTGCAATGTACTAAATGCTCAGCTTACATCATATGTGCAGCACAGACAATGTCACAGTGACATTACATTCACTTTAAAGCCTTTTAACTAAAGTATTGCCATGTTGTTGGACTGGGTCTATGCACTGAAGAGCTGTGGCACAATGAGAGGAACTTTTCAGTAATGACTCTTTTACAGGATCAGTATTTCCCCAGTCACCTCCATCAAGCAGGATGAAGACATTAAGGATATTTCTTTTCCCAGAGACGTAAATAAAAGCCTAAAGCACAGAGCCAAAGTGATGACAAGACACTTCTCTGAATGTTAATAAGCTGACATCAAAGAGTGTGAATGTGAAGTACCGCACCGAGTAAACCAATTCAAACAAAACTCAGTGATCATGCCTATACGCTCTGGTAGGTATTGAAACTGCTGAGTGGGAAACAGCACAAAGGCAACTTGTGATGGAAATCAAGAATAAATATAGAAGCCCCACAGATCCAGAAGTAGAGCGAGGGTGACTCATTCAAAGCCCATCAAAGAGACAGTACACTTTCACTCTAATAAGCTGTTTGCCGTGGTCCAGTTGACAGCCTCTTCTGAACAGAGAATGTACATAAATGCAGTCTGCACATGAATAATTCAACAGTAAGGGAAACGCTGCATCCAATTTCTAAATAAAAAGACCTATAAGTATCAACAAGAGGCTTTAAATATCGTTTGTTTTGTAGTGGCTGCGGAAGAACCAGGACAGCTCCATAATTAAGACATCTCAAAGAACCACAGTGACTTTTAAATAAGAAGAAGGGTGGCACATTTATGGAGAAAAACAAACAACACGTCGATTGCAGTTGCTAATAAAATATGTCTCTTATCCATTCACATAAACCATCTCTGTGTTCTCATCACAGTGACACAGAACGGCTTTATCAAATGCAGCTTCTCATCCTGTGCTCGCACACGTTAACTGCAGCAGCTTGTATTTCAGACATCAAAGACAGGGCTGTAATTTACAAAAGGGTTCAGCAACATATTAGACATCCGACTATAGCATTAAAAGGCAACAGCGAAGACGAGAGAAAATTGCACTGCCAGAGAGCGTTTGTTCACACACGTGTGTGTTTGACACGCTGCCAATCTTACATGTATGATGATGAGAGCATGTACAGTAGCAGCCAGTGGCCTCACATAAACCAGAGTATAAATAATCTATGGGAAATCTGGCAAACCCTGGGTGGAAAGTGACTGAAGAAGAAAGACAAAAACAGACAGGAAACAATAAGGAAAAAAAATATGACTACAGAGGGTGCTTGTATGTACATACTTGAAGAGTTCATTTGTAAAAACAGACAACTCCATTTTTGTAGATTTTTGTTGTTTGCTTGAGATAATATCAATCAAACTGAAGTTGAGTGGATTTGACTCAGTAGAAATGACATGACAAAAATAGAGATCATTTAAGTTTGATTGAGATTGTCTCAGGTAGACGATGGAAAAGTGGGTTTTCTGAAGGTTTGTGAGGATGGAGTTATCTGTTTTTGCAAATGAACTCTTCACATATTTGTATATACATAGATGAATCAGATTTATGATTACTCTTGATATAGAAAAACACGCTCTGTTCACATAGTACAGGGTCAAGAGGTCAGACAGATCATTGCAGACCAGCCTGATACAGCCCTGCAAGGTTTCAATTAAACTTCCAAAACAGTCACTTCCCAAAACAAAGAGGTATCTTATCAACAGACACTAAAAATGAGATGTGATGCTGTTTGTTAGTTTGGCATACACGCATTGTTGTAGTGTTTCTGTACTATGGCGCTAGTGTAACTCTACATGATGAAAGCAGATAAAAAGCAGAATTCAAGCTAAAAAATGACACATACAATCTATTTTGTGTCACTGAAATGCAAGACATGTCCAATTTTAACAAGTACAGAACTAAAATATGCACATATGATTTTTTTT